TAACCACTACGCTACCAGTGGTAGTGCAGTGGTTACGAATCGGGCTGCGAACCGCAAGGTCAGCAGCTCAAAACTACCAGCTGCTCCCGTAAAGATTAACAGCCTCAGAAACCCTGTGCAGGGTGGCTAGCCACGGCACATAACAACAACATGGTGCTGTGGGTTAATGTGCTAGACTGTAGTAAAGTTGGTTTGAACCCCAAGGTTGGCAGTTCAAACCCACCAGCTGCTCCTCAGAAACCCTATACAGGGTCATTATGAGTCGAAAACTGCTCCACAGCACTTAACAACAACACATTACTACCTCAGTATGATTTAAGAAGATTAAATGAGCTGAATGCTATATAAAGTTCCTGTGTGCTAAAGAAAGCACACCACAAACCCATTTCCCATCCCATAAGCTACCCCTTACTTAACTTCCTGGGAAACCAAGTCTCAGAGAGGAAAAGTGACATTGGGACAAACATTTGTCTCCTCGGCTCTGTTCCTATACAAAGAAGCTTCCTGAATTTGGACCATGAAATAGGTTTGACACTATTGTTCCCCTTACACTTGCATGAAACTCACAGACCTGCCATTGCTTTGTGATGTTGTGTAGGCAGTCTGGTCTCCCTAGCCTCAGTCTCCCCATCTGTGAAAGGAGGGAAGAAGCTGTCTCTTTAGTCCTTGCCTCTGAGTCAAGATCTCTTTCTGCCTCCTCCCTCTCAGGCACACAGGAGGCTGAGAAGGGACTCCACATGCAGAAGGTGAGGTCGGGGTCAGTGCGGGCCGCACTGGCCGAGCTGGTGGCCCTGCCTTGCCTCTTCACCCTTCAGCCTCGGCCAGGCATAGCCCGAGATGCCCCTCGGATCAAGTGGACCAAGGTGCGGACAGCATCCGGCCAGCGACAAGATGTGCCCATACTGGTGGCCAAGGACAACGTGGTGCGGGTGGCCAAGGGCTGGCAGGGACGTGTGTCACTGCCCACCTACCCTTGGCACCGTGCCAATGCCACACTGCTGCTGGGGCCACTGAGGGCCAGTGACTCCGGGCTGTACCGTTGCCAGGTGGTGCGGGGCATCGAGGATGAGCAGGATCTGGTGCCCTTGGAGGTGACGGGTTAGTCAGGGGTTGGGGAGGAGCTAGAACCGGGAAGGGAGGGGCTAAACTGGAGACCTTCCCTCAATGTAGCATCTTAGAAACCATACCCTGAACAGTTTTTTTCTTTGGTTCTTCTGATGGAGCTACAAGAAAGGTTTCCACAGGTACTAATCTGCTTTTAACACCTCACTTCTCTTTTAGTCAAGAGAACAGACTCCAACTCAGTCTCCCTGGGGCCACAAGAGCTAGGAAAAATTTCATCCTTTTGTTTTAAGTCCATTTTATGATTTTATTGTTAAGTGCACTCTAGTTGGTTCTGACTCATCACTACCCTGTCTAGGGTTTCTGAGGCTTTAAATCTTTACCGGAGCAGAAAGTCTCATCTTTCTTCCACAAAGCAACTGGTGGGCTTGAACCATGGGCTTTGTAGCTAACTTTATGTAGCACTGGTGGCTCAGTTGTAGAATTCCCTCCCATCTTTCAGGCAGGAGATCCAGCCAGGTACCATTCCCAGCCAATGCGTCTCGTGTCAGTGGAGGTTTGTGTGTTGCTATGATGCTGAACAGGTTTCAATGGTGCTTCCAGACCAAGACAGAGTAGGAAGAAAGGCCTGGTGATTTACTTCTGAAAATCAGCTTATAAAAATCCTATGGATCTCAGTGGTCTGATCTACAACCAGTCATGGGGTTGGTGTAGGACCAGACATCATTTTGTTCTGTTGTACATGGGGTCACTATGAGTTGGGGACCCACTTGATGACAGCTAACCAGTTTTACATAAAGCAAAGGATATTGGTTTTCTATTTAAAATAAGGGAGTCCTGGTGTGGCGCTATGGGTTAATGCGTCAGACTGCAAAGCCATTTGAACTGCAAGGTTGGCAGTTCAAGCTCACCAGCTGCTCCTCGGAAACCCTATTCAGGGTCGCTATGGGTCGGAACCGACTCGATGGCACTTAACAACGACAACATTTAAAATAAGAATATAAAACATTCCTTAAAATACATTTATTTAACTTTTTAAAAAGCAAGACGATTTTTAAAATAGCAAGCTGATTAAAGATATATAGTACATAAGTATATATTATGTAAATAACTCCTGAAAGGTTTTAATACCTGTTTAACTAAATTCTTTATATTAAATTCTCCTCTGTTGAAATATCCAGTGTAGTTTCTGTTTTTCTAACTGATCAAGGTGGACAAGGCAAAAAAAATTAAATTAAATGATTAAAGCAAAGCCCTAGAACAGAGCTTGTCTCACCTCACAGTAGGTGTTCAATGAATCAATTTTGGATGAACATTGTAGCCAATGGATTGTTGTGTGAAATGTTCTATGGACTCCTGTTAGGAAGCCGGCTTCTTTAGCCTGTTGTGTGACCCTTAACCCGTACCCACCTGGGATGTGAACCTGGGATGTGAACCCCCATCTGTGAACCAGGGGTAGTGAGAAAAAATAATTGCTATTTTATGAGGTTGACTCACCATTTCTCTTCCAAGTCCTCATTTCTCAAAACTGTTAGACCTCAAAGAAACTGATTCATGGCACAGGCAATGAATTCTGCGTTTGAGACTGTTTTATCCATTCATTCATCAAAACATTTGAGCACTTACCACGTGCCAGCCGGTGTTGGGGATATGTCACAGATGGGACCAACTGCTGCCCTCTGTAAGCACTTAGTCTGATAAGATGGAGCAAAATATATAATTCTTTTTTTTACTCAAGCATTTCTTTCATCCCTTTCAAGTTACAGTGAGTCATTGTTCATGCTTCCTAACTTGACTTACATGCCACCTCCTCCAGGACCTCATCTTCTGTCTGGGCAAGAACTGGTCTCCTATTGCTGCCTATGCTTTCCCCATCAGGGCATGCCCTTAATTTCTAAAAGGCAGAATACCTTCTTCATACCATCTCTAGGGCCTACCTCTGGGCATAGAAGGTGCCATCTTTGGAATCAAATCATCCTGGATTTGAATTCTGGCTCTACCTCATACTTGCTCTGTAACTCTGAACATGCCCCTCATCCTTTCTGAATCTTAGTTTCTTCTTCTGGAAAATGGGAATACTCATAGGGTTGTTGTAAAGTTGCAAGGATATAATGCTTATAAATTATTTACACAGAGTATTATTGGACAAATTCTAACCCTTTATGGTCATTATTGGAGTACTGGTATGCTGTAGGATAGATAAGCACTGGATTGCTAACAGCAAAGTTGGTGGCTCAAACCCACCAGTCACTTCTTTGAAATGTTATACAGGGTTGCTATGAGTTGGAACCAATTTGACAATACTTAATAAAAACAGCAAGGAGTTCTGGTAGTGTAGTGGTTACTAATTGGGCTGCGATTCGCAAAGTCAGCAGTTTGAAACTACCAGCTGTTCCACGGAAGAAAAATGAGGCTTTCTGCTCCCATAAAGATTTGCAGCCTCAGAAACCCTGTACAGGGTCACTATGAGTCGGAACCGACTCCATGGCACATAACAACAACAACAACAGCAACAATCACTATTAAGGGCCTGGGTGTCACAAACACTTTGCACTCAACTACTAATTTAAAAGTTGACACTTGGAACCCTTTTGGTGGTACTACAAAAGAAAGATCTGACTATCTGTTTTTGTAATGATTAGAGCCAAGAAAACCCTAGAGGTCAGTTTTACTTTGTACACATGAAATCACCAAGTAGATGACAACATGTTTGGTGTTTTTTGTTTTTATGGTCATTATTATCAGTTTTCTCATCTGTAAAATGGGTCCTATCAATCTTGCCCTCACCATCACCTTAGCGTTACCTGATGCTAAGTGAATAAATGTGGTGCCAGGCACACAGTAGAGCAACACTGGGGAATCACTCACCAAAGGAGAAGGCTGTTATTGAAGATACCAGCATAAGCAGTCTCCCATCCTGTTCATCCCTTTGTAGGTGTTGTATTTCACTATCGAGCTGCCCGGGACCGCTATGCGTTGACCTTTGCTGAGGCCCAGGAGGCCTGCCGTCTTAGCTCAGCCACCATTGCAGCTCCACGGCACTTGCAAGCTGCCTTTGAGGATGGCTTTGACAACTGTGATGCAGGATGGCTCTCTGACCATACTGTTCGGTAAGAAGGGAAGATAGGAGGCTAGCCCTGGCTGAAAGAAGGTTCTTGGAAGCCCGAATAGCACACAACTGAAAGGAACCTCCTTTTGTCTTGTCAGGTATCCTATCACCCAGTCCCGTCCTGGTTGTTATGGTGACCGTAGCAGCCTTCCAGGAGTGCGTAGCTATGGGAGGAGGGACCTACAGGAACTCTACGATGTGTACTGCTTTGCCCGAGAACTGGGAGGTAAGTCTGGGGCTCTAAGGGCCACCCCACAGCACCTCTGAGCTCCTGGGACTCTCCCAATCCCCATCTCCCTGAGTGCTCAGTTCTCCTAAATTTCACCCTTTTCTAAGCCTACAGCTAAGACCTGAGTTCTGCTCCCCTCTCCTAGCCCTTCCCCCTTTCCCGCTCCTTCAATGAGTCCATCCTCTGTCTAGAGACCAGAATGCTCAGCAGAGGTTTTCGCAGCCTAGTTAAACTCTCGCCCACAATAGGCCAAGTTGGGGCTTTTTTAGACAGGACTGGGACTCCCTTTCCAATCTAGAGGAGGGATTCCGATCTGGCCTGACCCTTGCCGCTCCTCCCGCAGGCGAGGTCTTCTACGTGGGACCAGCCCGCCGTCTGACTCTGGCCGGAGCGCGTGCCCAGTGCCGCCGTCAGGGCGCAACACTAGCCTCGGTGGGGCAGCTGCACTTGGCCTGGCATGAAGGCCTGGACCAATGTGATCCCGGCTGGTTGGCCGACGGTAGCGTGCGCTACCCGATCCAGACACCGCGCCGGCGCTGCGGGGGCCCGGCCCCAGGCGTGCGCACTGTCTACCGCTTTGCCAACCGCACTGGCTTCCCGGAGCCTGCCGAGCGCTTTGACGCCTATTGCTTCCGAGGTGAGTGCAGCCTCGCCCTTAAACAACCACGCACAAGTGAACTCCAAAAGAACGTGAAAATTAGAATAAACCCCATTTGCCACACCTCTCTGAGGTGATCACACCCCATGATGGCCACGCCCTTCGCTGACGGCCACGCCCTTCGCTGACAGTCACACCACAAAAGAACCCAAAACCAAACCTATTACTGTTAAAACGATTTCAACTCATAGTCGACTGTAAAGGATAGAGTAGAATTGTTCCCATAAGGGTTTCCAAGTCTGGCCAATGCCACAAAATAACCCAAACCTCCTTGGGGTTTCCAAGCTATGGTATTTTCATTCACCTCATATACATGGAAGAGCTGGACAACAAATAAAAAACACCAAATAAGAGTTGGTATGTTTAAATAATGGTGTTGGTGAAGAATACAGAATATATCAGAGACTGTCAGAAGAACCAACAAAATCTGTTTTAGAACTACCGTCAGAATCTCCTTAGAATTGAGGATAGCAATGTACTATCTATAAGGTACTTTGGACATGTTCTCAAGAGGGACCAGTCCCTGGAGAACATCATGCTTGATAAAGTAGAGGAGTCAGCGAAGAAAAGGAAGATCCTTAACGAGGTGGGTTGGCACAGTGGCTTCAACGATGGGCCAAACATAGGAATGGTTGTGAGGATGGGGCAGGACCAGGTCGTATTTCATTTTGTTCAACACATCTCTCTCTCCTTGCATTAGGAGTAGAGCACTTATCCAGTGAGTTACCAGGGTTCATTTCCAAAAGGACCTTTAAAATAAGCCCCACGGCAGCCATGCCCTGTGTGTGTGTGATAAAGGAGCCTGTTTAGCCACGCCCCCAAGGAGAGTACGTCTCCTGACGGCCCCTCCCCTCCTCATATAAATCTGCTCTCGGAGAGAACCACACCTAGAGGTCTTACAGGTCAAGTCCTGAAAAATAAACTCCAGGGAATCCTGCTCTATGGGGGACTGGAGTGGAGGAGGTGAGAAGCACTATTACATGTAGCGGTGCATACAGGGTGCTTCACCTTTTTGTGCCCCAAGAATGCGCTATCCCTAGTATGCAGTCTCTGAGGCCACAACTCCTTAATAAAATGTGATCTGGTATGATAAGCCCAGGGAGGCCAGGCCCATAATGGTGCTACCTTTGTAGCCATGACCCCAGATATCACACCCAGAAATGGTGCTTCTTCTGGTGACTACCCTAATGGATAACGTGCCTCACGATGTACCAACCTTAGCACACTGGACTCACATGCTGCACTCCTTTTAAAAATCTCACACCGATGGGACATGCCCCTTGGAAGGTCATGCCCTGAGACTCTGGCAAAGGTCAAACCCAGGTGGCTGTTTCCACATCACCAAGAAGACCATGCACCTGATTGGAGCCACTTCAGGGGCCTGGCTATGGAGGCCATGCCCATAAGAGAACCAACTATGCCCCTAGATAGGGGCACCCATGCATATGAGGGGAGCAATCAGGGACCATTCCAGCTATTGGGGTAGGGCACAGCTTGGAAAGTGGCAAAGTTCAACTCCAAGGAGCCATGCCCTTCTGTAAGGTCTTGAGTCTATGAGCATGGAGAAGGGCCGAGCATGGCCCAGTCCAACCCTCCACACCCCTAAGAGTTGGAACTGTCTCTGTGACTCCGCTATGACAACTGACCTCTGACCCAGAAAGGAGGCTCAGGTGGGTCCTAGCCTGAACAATGGGGTGATAACTTTTTGCTCTCTCTTGAGACTGGGGGTTCCCAGAGACCACTAAGAGAAACAGACTCAAAGAGATGCATAGGACTGTGCTGCAGCAGTTTGGAATGGGGGTAGACTTCAGGCAGGACTTCCTACCCAATCCTGGGCCTAACACAACCTCTTCTGCTTGCTTCCACAGCCCACCACCCCACACCACAACATGGAGATTCAGAGACCCCCTCGTCTGGAGATGAGGGGGAGGTTCTATCAGCAGAGGGGCCTCTGGCCAGAGAACTGGAGCCCAACCTTAGGGAGGAGGAGCCGGTCACCCCTAACTTACAGGAGCCTCTGGTGTCCAGTGGGGAAGAAGATCCCCTGATCTTGGTGGAGAAGCAGGAGTCCCAAGAGACCTCTAGCCTTGCTCCCAATGATTCCACGCTGGCCTGGGCCTCCCTGCCCTCTCTAGGGACTGAGACATGGCTGAGCACAGTGGTCCCCAGCCCCAGCAGTGAAGAGGGCACTGTGACAGGAGCCCACACAGAGACCCCCCTGGCTGGTCCCACACCCAGGAAGAGAGAGCGCTTCAAAGGGCTGAATGGGCGCCACTTCCAGCAGCAGGAGCTGGAGCAACAGCTAGATAAGGCATTGGAGGCCAGCATCCTGTCCCCTACCCTCGAGGCCACAGGGAACCATGTGGAGCCTCTCCTGGCTACAGGAGCTGCCAAGGCCTTGGCTGACCCAAGTCCCTGGGACATCCTGACCAATGAGGTGGATGGACCTGGAGCCCGTGAGTTGGGGTCCAGGAGACCTTCCTGGAGAGTCTGAGGGTGGAAAGATGTAGCTACTGTCAGGATGTGGAGTGGGCTCTGAATCCCTCATCCTCTGTGATGCTCAACAGGAAGAACTGCCCTGAGATAACTATTACTGTTGATGTTTCAGATTCCCCTGGTGGTAGGAGTTCTTCCGAACCCTGGCTGTGGCTCCCTACTGCAGTCCCGCCCAGCACCCCAGACCCTAGCAGGACCCCTGACCTGGAGCTCCAGGAAGCTGAAGACCCCAGCATGAGACCAGCTATCTTCACCGGGCCCTGGCCCACCTCAGAGGCCCCCAACTTGGCTCTTGGCCCCAGCACCAACCCCCCGGACAGCTCCCCAGTGGCTACCTCCCAAGACCATCCTGTCCTGGCCATGCTGCGTGCCCCCAAACTGTGGCTCCTTTTACCCCCTACGCCTGTCCCCTCTGAGAACAGTGGAACCCAAGGGCATGGCGAGGTCACAGCCACTTTCCCACCTGTCCCTGCCTCAGAAATTGAAGCTAGTCACCAAGACCTCAGTAATAAGCCAGGGGTGTCTCCCCAGCCCCCTTCCTTGAACCCCCCAAGACAGAGTGAAGAAGCCACATCCCTGATTCTTAGCAGCGACAGAGAAAACAGCTCCGTGCACCCCTCACAGGAAGCCATGGACTCAGGAGCCAGAGCTCACCCTACCTCCTCTAGCACTGATGCCAGGGAAGTTGAGGAGACCCATCATGCTCAGCTCAGCCAGCCTAAGCGCCCCAGCCCCAGCCCATGGGTTTCTATGGGTGAGAATGTGGCAGACGTCTTCACTCTCACTGAGATCCCTGTTGAACCCACAGGAGTTGGAGCCAGCTGGGGGTCTCAGTCGGGTGTCTTTGACCTATCAGCCACTGGGGTGCATCTCTACTCCCAGGCTGTGCCCTCAGGGAGCCCTGACGTCTCCTTGATGCCTAGAGTCTCCCCAATTAACAGAGCAGGAAACCCAAGTTTGGAGCCTCAGGCTGCTGTGGATGGGAGAGGCATGAAGGGCCCCACAGATCCCAGGGCAACAGGAGACCCTCCAGATTCCAGTGTAATTTGGGGATCTGGAACCCGTGTGGCTGAGGGAGTCGAAAGTTCTGTCTTGAACCTGCTGGCAACTGTGGACACAAGAGTGGTGACTTCACTCGAGTCCCTGGACCTTGAAGACAAGCTTGGGATCCTGGCCATGTCCACACTGGCCTCCCCAAGCTTCCAACCCACCCAGGAACAAGAGAGAACACTGGGGGCCTCAGCTCCTCCATGGACGCCAACTGCAGCTAGCGTGGACGAGGCAGCCTCTGTTTTCTCAGGAGAGCCCATTGCCCCATGGGAGCCCCCTGGTACCCTGCTGCCCACCTCCCTGGGCCCTGAGGACTTGGATCTGGAGGTCCTCAATCCAGTTGTGGAAGACCTCTGGGAGGAGGCAGCAAGTGGAGAGGAGCCGGTACCGCCAGGGACCCCTACCAAAGGGAGCATGGAGGAGGGTGAGTTCAGAGCCTCAAAGCCAAGTGCAGCTCTTTGTGATCAGGGCTTGGGGACCAGGGCACACATAGCAGGCAGTGGGGCTTTCTTAGAGACCCCAATATTTAGAGGAAAGAGCTAATTGGGAAACAGGCATTCCTGCCAGCAAAGGCCAGAAAATGATACCAGGCTAAGTCTATCCCCAGATCTGTCTGTATGGCTCAGCCCTTGTTTTGTTGTTGTGGTGTGCCTTTAAGGTTTCCAAGGAGTGGTTGGTGGGTTTGAACCTCCAACCTTGTGGTTAGCAGTCCAGTGCTCATCATACAGCGCCAGAACTCTAGACCTTGTTTGAGATCCTTCCATATTGAGTTGGGTTTTTCTGTCTTTGTTTTTGGTCACGTGAGCTTTAAAATTTAAAAAAAGCTAGTTAAAAAGCACTTTTTCTAAACTGCAAAACACTCTTAATAACACAGTTGCTTTTTAACTTGCCCCTTCATTTGAAGGCAAAGTGTGGCAGAGATGGAGGAAACTGGTGTGGGTTTGGTCGCGTACTCCGGCACCCCTAGGTTGTGTCCAGATGGGATCATCTTTACTTAGATGACCAGAGACAGGCAGACCCCAAGCAGGGGTGCAACTATCGATAAAGACTGTATTTGCTTTTTTGAGTGTGCCTAGATCATTCTTAGCTCTTTTTATTATGATCTAATGTCTCATCCTTATGATTAGCTGTGCAGTCTTTATAATGAGATAGTGGTGATGAACGTGCCTTTTATGCAGGAGACAGCTTTGATTCTCTGCCAATGCCCCGCATGGCCAACACCACCCGTCTGGTGGTGGAGGCTTGCATGTTGCTATCATGCTGAACACGTTTCAACAGAGCTTCCAGTCTAAGACAGACTATGAAAAAAGTTCTGGTGTTCAACTTCCGAAAACCAACCCATGAATAAATCAGTGATTCACAATAGTCTGATATTCAACCATCACAAGGATGGTAGTAAAGGACCAGGCAGCATTTTATCTTGTGCCTGGGGGTGCCACAAGTTAGTGGGGGGGGGGGCAACTCAGTGGGAGCTAACAACATGATAAGGTCCTTGTGGAACAAGCTAAGCCCCAGTTTACAAACGGGAAAATTGAGGCACAGAGAGTTTAAGTGACCAGCATAATGTCATCCAGTTAAGAAATGTGCAAGCTGAATTTGAATCCAGGCCATCAGATTGCAGGATCTCAGTTGTACCGATGGAACCCTGGGAAGGGGCTGAATTAACTCAGGAGGAGCCAAGACAAGGTGGGTAGTGGGAAGGCTCATCCTAGAAGCCAGGCAGAGGTGGTCAGAGTAGTGGAGGGAGATCCAGGCAGATTGGGCAGCTGAGGAAGCAATGTTGCATGAAACCCTGCAGCCAGGATTGTGTCTCTCCTGGATTTTTCTGGACTCCAGCTCAGACTGAAGCCAGCGGCAGCGGGGACAGAGAGAGAAGGATGGTGCTGGGGGACACCCAGTCACCACCCACCCACCGCTTGCAGCAGAAATGCTAATGAAGCCAAAAATAAATGTTGCACTCGCGAGCGACTGAGTCACCCGCCAGTCAGTGGGCAGGTGTCAGCAGCACGAGGCACTTCACGTGTTCCTACCATCCTGAAGTCCCAGGCATGTGCACACATGTGCTGAGGCTTACATGTAGCCCCTCCTGCTCCCACCCCAGAGACAGGCCTCAGCCACCACGGTGGCTGGGGGCACCTTTGGTGGCATTCATTCAATTAGCAAGCAATTATTGAGTGTGTGCTACGTTCTAGGCCCTGTGTTGAGACCAAAACATTTGTCTGCTAGAAACTGACATTCTAGAACTTTCTGCATTGATGGAATAGTCCTCCATTTGTACTGTCTAATAATGTGGCTACTAAGCACTTGGAATGTGGCTGGTGTGGCTGAGAAACTATATTTTCCCTTTTTAAAATATTTTACTAAATGTTCATTAGCCACGTGTGACCGGTAGTCTTATAGGGGAGACAAACAAATAATAATCCTAATAAATGAGTGAATTATATTGGATGTTAGAAAGTGATAAGAGCACTAGAGACAAAAGAAGCAGGGGGCAGGGGACGGAGTGCCAGGGGATGGTTTGCAGTTTTCACTTGGGGGTGGGCGTATGCCAGCCACCAAAAGGTTTTCTACAAAGATGAAATTTGAGCAAAGCCTGAAGGAAGTGAGGGAGAAGCCATGCAAAGATCTGTAGGAAGAGTGATCCAGGCAGAGAACAGTCTGTGCAAAGGTCCTGAGGCAGAGTCGTGATAAGAGTGTTGGAGGAACAATGAGGAGGCCCAGGTGGTTGCTGCAGTGGTGATGGGGAGCAGACGATGGGGAGACAGGGGAGGAAGAAGTGAGATGTTGGGGCTGTGGACTACAATGAAGAACTTAGTTTTTCTTTTAAGGGAAATGGGGAGTCATAGAGAGTTCTAGACAGAGGAGGGACATCACACTACTGATGTTCACAGGCTTCTCCTGTGAACAGACTGAGGAGGGCCAGGGCAGGAACCAGGAGACCAGAAAGGAGGTAACTGCTAATTACCACTTCAATTTCTCATGAGACCCAGGACAAAAACAGAAACAAATTCTAAATTACGGGGGCTGGAGAGAGCATCTTAAATAGGGTTTCTGGAAACCCTAGGCCAGTCTTGGTTCTTCCGTTGTCTTGTGTATGGCTTTGAGCCATGTCCTATCCTGAAGGGTCATGGGATAGGGTCAGCTAGGTTAGAATGGGAGTGCTTGCTTGTGGAGAGGTGGTGGAATATAGTGATGAAAACCAAAGAGGGATTCTCCCAGGTTCCAGGGGAGGGATTTCTTCAAGGCGGTGGAGATCATCCACCTGGGAATTTGAGTACCTAAGATGGAAAGGGACTCATCTAGCTCCAAAGAAATCCAGCTAGGGGTGATGATGGTACAGGAGCCCACATTATTTGATGCCTCCTGGGTGTTCAAAGAGCCCTGTTTCCTCTGTGAGTTAAGCACTGGGCTGCTAACCACAAGGTTGTTGTTTCAACCCCACCAGTTGCTCTGCGGGGGAAAGATGAAGCTGTCTGCGCCTGTGGAGATTTACAGTCTTGGAAACCCTATAGAAGTAATTCTACGTGTCCTATACAAAGCTTCTATGGGTTGAAGTTGATTCAGTGAAGTGTGTCCCCCTCCCCACCCCACCCCCAGGCGTTCCAGGTTGATAGGGACAGTGGTCAGAACTGGGAGAGAGGAATGAACTATTTTATCCTCATTTTACAGATGAGGTAACTGAAATTCAGAGAAGTTAAATGACTTACTGAGGGTTCCCTAGTGAGTGACCGATCCAGAACTTGAACCAGACTTCTCAGACTCTGTAGTCCGTGCTTATAACCACTATAATCCATCACCTCTTGACATCATAAACACCGCAATTATACCAAAAGAGACGGAGCCACTAGAAAGAAGGAGGTGGTAGTTCCCAGTCTCCCCTGTGCTGTTCACATAGAACTTGGTGTTTATTTCTATGCATCAAACTGTGAGAAGTTCCGTGATCAGCTGGGCATGAATAGCGAAGGATACAAGTCAGGGAAAGCCATAAACCCATGTTCTAGGAAATGACTACTTACGAGAAGCTTCAGGAAACCCTTGCTGGTTCGGTCCAAGGAAGGACTTTGCCATAGTCAAGGCAGTTTTGGGGTTTTCCTGGAAGGAGTGAGCTCCCTGTCACAAGAGAAGTTGGTGATGACCTTCTGGGGATGTTGTAGAGAGGACCGCCACATAGAAGGATTCGATAAGTGGGGCTTTGAGAACCTGTGGTTTGGGTTCTGAGAAACAAATTAGCTGATGGTTTGAGTTCCCGACATACACACTGCCCATCTGTTCTGCAGACCTCTCTGATCCCTGTGAGAACAATCCATGCTTGCATGGGGGGACCTGTGTGGCCAACGGTACCATGTATGGCTGTAGCTGTGATCAGGGCTTCGCTGGGGAGAACTGCGAGATCGGTGAGTACCCCGGCCCTAGGATTTGACCCTGGATTTGTGTGATTCCAAAGTTTGGGGCTCTAGGTACCATTGCGCTCAAGGACTCAGGAGATTACAAAATGCTGGCTTCAGATGATCCTCTCCCCTTCCCCATTTCTTGGATCCAGCTCAAAATTATCAGGCAGGTGCAAGGAGGGAAAGAAAATGGCATGTGACCCCAGCCCCTCCCACCTAAGAGTCCTAGTGGATGTATCCTTTCCTGGGTGGGGAGGGTTATAGGCACCACCAACAGAACTCTTGAATGCTAATCTCAATGCCCAACAAAAAGACCACTAATTATAGAATAATAACAATAGATATAAATGACATGATTTCTTAAGATCTGTGCATCATATCATTGTCTTTACCTTCACAACCACACTACTAATTACAGAATGATAATAACATGTGATCATTATAATTCATTGAGCTATATGCATTGCCTTTCCACTTACAACAACCCTTTGCAAAGAAAGAAACTTGAGTCTCAGGGAAAGTCTGTCACTTGCTTGGTGTCATCCATGCCTCAAGCACTTATACAGGGTTAGTATAAAAGGAGCTCAACTGAATATCTAGTTCTACTTATGGACGACTTTATGACTGCACACAAATCCCTGCAAATGCTCTGGAGCCCAGTTTTTATGTGTACAAAATATTCCTAAAAGACCCTCCAGCGTCAGTCAAGGCTCTATGTGCCTGTGTGCAAGAGTATAACCTTCATTCCTTTGAAGTCAGGTGGAACATTCTGCAGTGCTAACATTTTGGCCCTCATCTAGCTGAGTGGCACCTGCTGTCATTAATTCTAATTTATGTTAATTATGAGATGCTCCACCCTTTTGACATAGAATCATTGAGCCATCTGTGCTGACCAATGTCTGCTATCCAGGATAGATTGCAAAGTCATGGCCCCACCTTCCACCTGGTTCCCTGTGGGGATTGGAGCCAGGGGAATGCTGACCCCTGACCCAGCTCCTCCTCGCTGCCCCCCTCCAGATATTGATGATTGCATCTGCAGCCCCTGTGAGAATGGAGGAACCTGCATTGATGAGGTCAACGGCTTTGTCTGCCTTTGCCTCCCCAGCTATGGGGGCAGTCTCTGTGAGAAAGGTGAGTGTCTACCATAACACCAGAACAGTAGCAGGAGTGGGGTTGGGTGCCTTGCCAGAGACTTCGTCCACATGCTCCTGGTCTAACCTCTGACTATGAGACTGACAAGCAAGAATTTTAAAATTTCACATAATATAGAATTAACGTAACATAATTAACATACACAGTTCAATGGCATTAAGTGCATTCATAATGTCATGCAAACACCACCACCTCCATCTAGACCCCATTCCATTAGCAATCTCCCTATACCTCCTTCCCCAGCCCGTGGCAACCGGTACTCTGCTTCTGTTTCTATGGATTTCTCTGCTCTAGACCTTTCATATAAACAGAATCGTATTCAGAGCAGATAACACTCATATGTGACCTTTTGTTTCTGGCTTCTTTCAGTCAGTGTGATGTTTTCAAGGTTCATCCATGTTGTAGCATATTATCAGTGCTTTGTTCCTTTTCATGGTTGAATCATATTTCACTGTGTGGCTGGGCCACATTACGTGTATCCATTCATCTGTCAATGAACATTTCTCAGCTACTGTGAATAGTACTGCAATGGACATTCACCTATAAGTATTTATTTGAGTCCCTGTTTTCAATACTTTTAGACATAAATTACTGGGTCACATGATAACTCTGTTTGATGGTTTGAGGAACTGCCAAACTGTTTTCTCCATTTAACATCCCCACTAGAAGTGGAGGGCTCCTGCTTCTCTAACATCATTACCTACATGTGTTATTTTTCTTACTTGATATTATATATCTTGTTGAGGGAACTCCTCAATGAGATGGATTGACACAAAAGTTCAACAATGGACTCAAATACATCAATGATCATGAAGATAGTATAGGACGGGGCAACATTTCATTCTATTATACGTAACGTCACTATGAGTCAGAACTGACTCCGTGGCAAACGAACAACAAAGACATTATTATTATTATTGTTGTAATTATTGCAGTCATCCTAGTGAGTATAAAGTGGTATCTCGTGGTTTTGATTCATTTCCCTGATGACGCTGAGCAAGCTTTTTATGCACTTGGTGGCCATTTGTGTATGTTCTATTCAGAAATGTTTCATGAAGTCTTTTGCCAGAATGATATTTAAGGCCTTCCTGAGCCCATTTCCTGGCATCCTACCCGTTTGTGCCGAGCATCCACAGAGGAGGTGGCCAATACGGCTCCAAAGATCAGGGAAGGAGCTGTCAACATGTGGACCAGAGGAGATGGGATGTAATGATGAATCTTTTCTAGCAACAAAGAAAAGATGCTAATGTGGGGAGAGGGTGGTAAAAAGCTTGGGGGGAGCGTGAAGGGATTGTGGGGGGCGGGGGTTGAGGAGAGGGGCAATCTAGTCCCAAAGTGATCAGTCCCCCTCATGCTCCTATTCCATCCCCAGACACAGAGGGCTGTGACCGAGGCTGGCATAAGTTTCAGGGTCACTGCTACCGCTATTTTGCCCATCGGCGAGCTTGGGAGGACGCCGAGAGGGACTGCCGCCGCCGAGCTGGCCATCTGACCAGCATCCATTCACCTGAGGAACATGGCTTCATTAACAGTAGGGACTTTGGGGAGGGAGGGCCAACAGCTAGTAGGATTGACAGAGGTGACACCCTTGGGCCCTTTCCAAAGTCCCCCCTATAGAAACCCAAGGACACCACCTTTCCAAGTTATATTCATGAGTGCAAGGACTGTCCACTTATTAATTTACACTTCTGTTTGTTTATGTTAATTCACATATTCATTCATTCATCACATAATTACTGAGTTCCAGACACTGGAGACATTACCTTGTCCTCAAGGAATGACTTCTGGCAGGAGATATAGATAAACAAGTAACTATCTAATTACAGAAATGTGTAGTATAGCTTTAGCTCATCCTAAGTGCTGTGCTGCAAATAAAACAGGGTCAGAGGATAGAGAAGGGGCTTGAAGAGCATCTGTGCTGAATGTGATGAAATGTACAAGGAGCTCCACAGAGACGTAGAGAGAGGGTAGAGTGTTGCAGTAATTAAATCCAGCATTTATTGATTTATTCATGATCCCTTCTGCTGGGGCTCGTCCCTCGGTATATTCATGCTCCCCCATCCTGCCCCTGTTAATTCTCTCGTTTATTCACTAGTCTCCTATTCCTTGGTGGAATCAGTGATGGTGGATGCATTCCTCCATCACCCGTCCTCACACCCACCCTTGCCTGTCCTGGTGCTGACCTGGGGATCTCTAGTCCCCTTACCTCTCATTTCTGCAATGAGAGGACATGCCTTGAGCATTCCTTCCTCGTTGAAGCCACAAATCATAGCAAGGCCAGGACCTCATTCCAGCTCCTTCTGTGACACCCTTTGCCCCCAGGTCTCAGGGCTGACAGTCCTCTCTTGCCTACAGATGGGGGTGGGGGTGGAGGTGAAGATTGAAGACTCAGCATTCAGCCCACCCCTAAAGCTGAAGGAGGGTCTCGGGGTTCTCCTACACCCCACCTTCTTTCTCCAGGCCACCTCAAAGACTGGGGGCAGGGTTTGGAGTCCCTGATTTTCACCAGCCCACACCTGGGGCTGGGAGAAAAAACTCCGTGACCTCCATCCCTGCCCTTGCCCCCACATCAGCGTCAGGGACCCCTAGTCCTCACACTTCCCTCACTTACAGGCTTTGGGCATGAAAACACATGGATCGGCTTGAATGACAGGATTGTGGAGAGGGACTTCCAGTGGACGGACAACTCAGGCCTGGTGAGTGGCTGGAGCCATGGCTGGGGTCCCTGCCCTCAGGCTGCTGATGAAGACCCTGCCCAGAAAGGAGAGATCTGGCTTGAGCCTACTGGGCTCTGCTGTTGGGCCTCAGCTTACCCGTTTGTGCCGAGCATCCACAGGTGGACATCAAAGGTCCCAATGGTTCTGAGTTACTGGGGCTCCTGACGGGGCTCCGTGATACTCAAATCCTGCTTTAGCCCTGAGTTTCCCAGTCCCATCAACAGTCCCCATCTACCCAGATGCTGAGACTACAAATCTAGGATGAGTTCTCCAGCTGTGGTCTCTCATATATCCCCTGCTTCTCCATGCCCCACTGCCTGTGTGACAACCATTTTTGCCCACTTGGACCTCAGCAGTGGTACCTCACTGACCTTTTGCGTCCTGCTTGTTGCCAGGAGCCTCCCCTGCCTCAAGCCCTCCTTGAAGGCCCATTTCCTCAAAATAAAAATCCACCCCTTCCCATTTTCTCACCACATCCTGACTTGAGATGAGCCCCATAAGTCTCCATTCAGTTTTTCAAAAAGGCTCAGCCCTGTCTCTGAGCTTTTGCACATGCTGTTCCCTTATCTTGGAACTCTGTTCCCTGTTTGGATTCGTTCTGTCCTTGAGTTTTCAGCTTACTTATCACCTCCTCAGAGAAGCCTTGCTAGACTTCCAGGGTTAGACTACCTTTTGTTCACAAACAGGTGCTACTCAACTATTTAACAGTGATTTGTGTGGAAAATGGGTTGCTGGGATTAGCAGGGAGGCAGGAGAACCAGGGAGGAGGGCACTACAGCCTCCCAATCAGAGGAGGGGTTGCTGGGACCATAGTGGCTGGCACCAGAGTGGCTCAGATAACAGTGTCTTGCCATATCCAAAACGGTGCCCATTTTAGAGCTCCTCAGAGTTTCCGTGGTCTGGCCAAGTGACTCCCATAGCAACAGGGCCGGAGCCAAAGCCAGGACCAGATCCTCTGAGCACCCCTATTGCCCTGCTTCCCCCCTTCCCCTCATTCCTGCAGCAATATGAAAACTGGAGAGAGAACCAGCCGGACAATTTCTTCGCGGGTGGGGAAGATTGTGTGGTGATGGTGGCTCATGAGAGTGGACGCTGGAATGATGTTCCCTGCAACTACAACCTCCCCTACGTCTGTAAGAAGGGCACAGGTACATCCACTCACCTGCCCTTTCCTCCTACCACTCAAGCTTCCTGTTTTATCTTTTATGTAAGTTTGTAAATATAAGAGTTGGTCCAAAAAAAAGTTGTTCCAGAGAGGGGAAGAGCTCTACACACATCTCCCTCCTTCGTACCATCTCCTCCTGCCTTCACTAACTTTGTGTCTTCTCAACCTTTAAATCCCTATTCATCTAACTGGCAGAAAATAGTATCTCATTGTATTTAGTTTGCATAACTTAATGATGAGACTAAGCAACTGTTCATCTGTTAATAAGCCATTGTTGTTGCTGTTGTTAAGACCCATCAATACCCTGTATAGGGTTTCTGAGAACCTTGTGGTTCAAACCCACCAAAGTCCAGTCCAGTGCCTATCCTAACTGCCACACCAGAACTCCTGATAAACCATTGTTGTTGTTGTTAAGTGCTGCGGAGTCGGTTATGACTATAGCAACCCTGTATAGGGTTTCCAAGGAGCAGCTGGTTGGTTTGAATGGCCAACCTTGTGGTTAGCAGCCTGGTTCTTATCCTACAGCACTACACCAAGACCCATTTTGTTGTTGTTGAGTGCCATTGAGTTAGCTCCTACCCATAGCAACTCTGTATAGGGTTTCCAAGGAGCAACTGGTGAGCTTGAACCTCCACCCTTGTGGTTCAAACCAACAGTCCAGCGCATTAACCCATAGTGCCACACCAGCACTCCTCAGGACCCATTGTTGTTGTTGTTAAGTACCGTGGAGTCGATTCCAACTCATAATGACCCTGCACAGGGTTCCCGAGGCTGTAAATCTTTACGGGAGCAGAAAGCCTCATCTTTCTCCTGCAGAGCAGCTGGTAGTTTCGAACTGCCGACCTTGAGGTTAGCAGCCCAATTCTTAACCACTACGCTACCAGAGCTCCTTCCAGGACCCCTTAGTACCTATTTATTTTCCAGTAACTTGCTAGTACATTTCCTTTGCCTAATTTTCCATCAGGTTGTTGGTGTTACTGATTTATAAGAATTCTTTATATATTAAGGCAGTCGTTTGTACACATGTGTTCACCCATGATACTTTTGTTCTTTTGCTTCGCTTTCTTTGCAAGTTCATTCCTTTTCTTTCTTTTGGTGAACATGGTAAGCTGCTTGCTAACTGAAAGGTTGGAAGTTCCAATCCATCCAGAGCTGTCTAGAAGAAAGGCCTGGTGATCTACTTCCAAAAACTCAGCCACTGAAAACCCTGTGGAATAGAGTTTTACTCTGATCCACATGGGTTTCCATGAGTTGGTGTCGACTTCATAGCAACTGTTGTTTATTTCCTCTCATTGGCCCCCATCGCCTCCATTCCCATCATGTCCTGTGGTTGGCATAGTAGAGAGTGCACATAGTTGGCATAGTAAGGGATTACACGTGAAGAAGCAGATGTACTTTCTGTCCTTTAGGAGTTTCTTGTTCGGGTGAAGGAACTGGATACAGTCATTCTAGCCCCACTGAGACAAGAAAGCAGTTTAGCCCCATACATGGCCACAGTACTTACTGGATGCCCCTCTGTCCCTAGTGCTGTGTGGACCCCCTCCAGCAGTAGAGAATGCTTCACTTGTCGGTGCCCACAAAGCCAAGTACAATGTCCACACCACTGTCCGCTACCAGTGTGATGAAGGTTTTGCTCAGCACCACGTGGCCACCATCCGGTGCCGAGGCAATGGCAAGTGGGATAGGCCCCAGATCGTCTGCACCAAACGTAAGTGCCCCTCCCAAGTCCCCAACATAGATTTTTGTTGTTGTGAGTTGCCATTGAGTTTGTTCCCACTCATGGCAACCCCATGCACAAGGGAAGAAAACACTGCCTGGTCCTGTCCCATCCCCAAGATCAGTGTAGATGTGACCTCCTTTGTGATATATAGGGTTTTCTTCACTGGCTGATTTTCAGAAGTAGATCACGAGACTTTTCTTCCTGGTCCATCATAAAAATTCACAAATCTCCACTGACTGATGGGTGACTTCTGCACATGAAGTGCAGAAATCTATCCCTAGGTTCCCACATAGAAGGTGAAATTTCTAGTATCAAATCCTGAGCTATCTGGAGTCTCTGATGAAAATATCCTTTTAGTACACACATTGACATGGTAATACAGCCTTGCAGCTAGGTAAAAGCTTAACCAATTTGCGTGGAGTTTCTTCCACTTCCCCTTCCCTGAGGGGATCCTCAGCATCATACCAACCCCTTGTCACCGTGTTTTGTCCTGTTCCTGTCCTCCCTCACTTCTCTACAGCCAGACGGTACCATCGCATGCGGAGACACCACCACCACCACCAACACCACCACCAACATCATCACCACAAACAGCGTAAGGAGCGCAGAAAACACAAGAAACATCCTGCGGAGGACTGGGAGAAGGAAGTGGGGAATTTCTGCTGAAGAGCCAGGCAAAAGAAAGCACAACCCCCCTCCCACACCTTCTCTGGAGGCTTCACCTAGGTAGACAGAACCCAGAGAGAGAAAAAAAACAAGAAGGTCCTAAGGCCCCTGATTCCCAAACTACATCCTCCCAGTCCCCACATAATCCTTTGTAAAAAGCTCCTCTCTCCTTCTTACCTACACCAAGGTCTCCTTGGCAGATGTAGCCATGTGTCTGAAAAGTCAGTTCTCGTTCTAGGAGTCTCCCACCAGAGGGAAGCACAATCAAGAAATCTCATTCTTTGTACCCGTTTAGTCTTTTGTTTGCAAGAACCATGGCCAGTTGTTGAAATAAGGCTTTGATGAAGGTACAGGAGAGTATGTTTGAAATCGCATGAAGGAATTACTTTCTGCACCAGAGATTCAGGCTCAGTAAACTACTGGATGCCCCCAATCCAGGATGAAGCCTTTATTTAAGGTCATTGGCTTTGGGAGTAAAAGACTAAACAGAAGCACACTGCTAGAATATGATGACTACCCTTCCTTCACCTTGGACTTCGGCCGAAGTTCAGGTTTCCTTTGGTCTTGGTGGATTAACCCAGGGTGGCATTCCCATGTACTGAATTTTAGGAATTTTTTAGAACCACCTCCCTCCATGCCCTCAGAAAGAGGGGTCAGAAAATCAGAGCAATATATAAGTAATGGAGGGAAAATATAGTGCTCACCCTCCCACGTCTAGTCCAGTGCTGAGATGGTTCTGTATGTGTGTGAGTCACACACCAAATGAGAGGATGCTTGGGGCTTGAGGTGCCCTGATTTCTTCCCCCTCCATCTCTCAGGGAGACAAAGAACCTCTTACTTGGACCAAGGAAGTGCCAAGCTTTCTAACTTAGTCCCCATACTCATCTCCCAAGCAGACAGTGGTGGTGTCCCTGCACTGGGCCCTGCTTCCACCTTCATCCCATCCCTGTCACCAGACATCAACTGGTGACTAGAAATGCTGAAAACTTGAAGTAGAAACACCTGCCTGTGGTCATATTTTAGAGAGATGCACAGTGTTCAAACTGAAACACACACACACACACACACACACACACACGTGCGTTTTTCTCTCAAAGTTTTTCTTTTTTTTAAGTGGGAAAGAATGCCCCTAGTTTTCCTTCTCCAAATCTGTAAACTGTCGAAGGCTTCCCGCAGCCTTAAGCAAGGAGCCAGATCTCTAATCTATGTCAAGAAATGTCCATTCTTTTTCTTTCATGCCCTTTGCCCACTCTGAGTTCTGGTAAACTCTGTATATTCATGTTGAAAGCCACAGCAGAGAATGGCCCTCTGCAGGAAAGAAAAATCAGTTAATGCATGATCCACTAAGAGCTTAGTAGAGAAATAACTGTTGTTGACTGAGCCTGTATCCTTCCTGATAAATAATAATCCTAGTTGACAACTGAGTTGGTGCCTGCTAAGGACTTAACACATTATCTTCTTGAGCCATTAACTGACCTGTGATCTCAGAACCATCCCATTTTACACATGAAGAGACTGAGGCCTCTCTCAGACTCCACACAGGACTCTCTACATCAGGGAAGGGATTGGAACATTATCTCACTTTTTCTCACACACACAGGCAGACCAAGAAAATGATTGAGAGGCGCAGCCTGGACCCTCATTTTGACCCAGGTCTTCAATCTTCCCTGCTGTAGACATTATCCACTGTATGGTTTATTGTTGAAACAGTCCAGGGATATAAGTCTTGTCTTCTTACTTTGATAATACTTCTTGGTTTAAAAATATATATAATAACAATAACAGCACATCTTTGATCATACTTATCACAAAAGAATTTTCTTTTATTTGGGGAGGGGTGACTTGGGATGCAACCTTTTTTGGGGGGCTTGGTTTATGCTCCCTGTTTTTGTTCCTCCGAACCCCTTGCCCTGCTCCCACCCCACTCCATGATGGGCGGGTGCTCTGGTCTTTTTAAAAGTGGGTGGTTTGTCTTTTGATCTTTCACTTTGGGGTGTGTGTGTGTGTTTGCGTGTGCCATATGTGTGGCATGCGTGTGAGTGTGTGTTTGCGTGAATAGCCTTGGGTTCTGCTGGTTTTGCTGTGAGCTGCAGTGTTCTGTGGGTCTGTGGTATCTGACACTGTAGACATTAATGTACTTCTTGGACATTTTAATAAAAATTTTTTAACAGTTCAACTTGCCTGTCACTTCCAAACACCTTAATTCTTATTCATTCACTTAGAATGGATGTAGTGAGCAGCTATAGTGACTCAGGTACTCTGCTTAGTGCTGAGGGAATAGCTGTGAACAGGATAGACATGGCCTTGGGGGTAGTCAACGAAGGCTTCCTAAAGAAGGTGACCTGAAAGAGTGGGTGGAACCTAAAAGAGGAGTAGAATTAGCTAGCAAGGAGAGAAGGAAAGGAGGCAGGAAGTGTTTCAGGCAGAGGGAAGAGCAAAGGAAGACAGGAGTGATGTCTCATTTGAGAAACAGCAAGGAGTCCATCGTGGCTCGAACTGGGTAAGTGAAGCAGAGAGTGGAAGGAGGTGAGAACAGAGTTTGGACTTAATTCTAAAAGTAATAGTGGTAAGACATACCAACAGTAAGATCAAAAAGTAAATATTGAACTTAGTAACAATTGTTCAAATCAGACAAAAGATTAGTTGCCTTCATATATAAAGAGCTCCAACAAATCAGTAAGAAAAAGGCGAATAATCCAGTAACTAAATGGGGAAACAATATGAACAGATGGTTCATAGAAAGGAAATACAGGTGGCCCTTAAACTAAACATATGCTCAACAAAATGATATACATTTTTGTATGAACAGCAAAATAAACAGGAAAGGAATACAAACAAAAGGGAATAAACAAATCTAACATAAGGAGACTTGCATAATCAATGATGGCAATATGCCCGAGAATGGTTTATGATTTCCTCAGAACAAAGTGTGTAAGGCTGAAACTCAAAGGGAACACATGAGCAGGCATGTAAGCTTGCTGGTGCCCATGTTGGTCTACTGATGAGTGGAAGAAGGGAAACAGCAGCAATGAAGAAATGGGCTGAGTTCAACCACGTTCCACAGACTCCTGGGGACCTGGAGATGAGAGAGAGAAAAAGAAGGGCTGGCTGGTCCAAAATATGGTGAGACCTGGGGACACCTCAGCCTATGAACAAGTACATAGCCACAGAGGTCTAGAGCTTAGAGTGAAGCATCCAGCTGATATGAAGTGAGAGGGGTCACGCAAGAACACCCAAAGTTGCAGGTAGCACTCATTTGACCTAGCCTTGATGGCTTGATAATCAGAACTCAACTAGAGCAAGATTAAAAAATAATAATAATAATAATAAAAAGTTAAAGGAAACGAGGGTAAATTGCTACAATTTGATGAACTTGACCTATACTCATGGAGACAGTAACGCTACATACCAACAAAGAGGAAGGAGTCTTCACATCAAGTATCAATGCTATCCCCCTCTGTACACAGGGTAGATAGAGATGGGCAACTTAGACATTGGCTACCTAAAATGAGAGTGCAATAAAGGCACAAAGTGACTAGCTTACAAAGTTTCAAGGGGATGCTTAGGTTAATAGAGTGTGGGGAAAGAAAGAGTTCCCACTGAATAGTTTTCATCTTGTCTTGATGGGTCTGGTAAAAAGAGATGGGAATAAGATTCTTATAATTCAATAATGAGTAATTGTTATTGTGACTAATTGCAACTCTCACAATTGTAAAGGTAGAAGTTTTGTAACAAAAACGGGAGGGGTTAATCTTACAGTCTAGAAACAAAGGATCCCAGGATCATCAAGAAAGAAGACCACAAGCAGAATGAGAGACCTTATCCAGAGAAGCAGCGACACCAGAGATGGAGGCAGAGATGGGGACATGGAGACAGGGAGCAGCTGAGGACTCTAGATTCATGGGAAGCGAGGGACTGAGAACTGGGGGCCAGGAGGCAGACTTGCAGAATGTGCCCTTTGGTGGTGTAAATTATTATATATGCCTGAGTGTTTTAAAAAAAAGCTAAAGTGAATAGAGAGAAACACTTGTAATTGATGGTACATGGAGGGGATTGTAATTATTGTAATGAAACAAGGTGTATGATTTGTTGAATGTAAAACTGATGATCTGCCCCATAACCTTTTACTCAATCCACAATAAAAACCTTAAAAAATAAAAAAAGATTTAAAGTGGGGTGTGGGGGCGCAACTTCACATACATAAGAATTGAAGGTGACAATCCCATTGAGAGACCATTTTTCACGTATCAGTTTGGCAAAAGTACTAAGTCATTCCACCATATGCTGGTGAAGATTTGGAAGAACATTAACGGAGGGGGCTATAAATTGGTGTCCCATCTTAGAAGACGTAATTTCAAGGTCTGCAAAGTTGGTTTGAGCCACAGTGTAAGCAGTTCAAGCTCACCAGCCGCTCCTCGGAAACCCTATACAGGGTCGCTAAGAGTGGGAAATGACTTGACAGCATTTAACAACATCAACAATATTGTTGGTGGAGTCCTGGTGTGGTGTTGTGGGTTAATGCACTGGACTGCAAGAGCTGTTTGAACCACAAGGTCGATGGTTCAAACTCACCAGCCACTCTTAGGAAACTCTGCTATGAATAGGAACGGACTTGCAGCACTTAACAACAACAAATGTTGTTATTAGCGGCCATCAAGTCAGTCCCAAATTCATGGCAGCGCCATGCACAACAAAACACTGCCTTGTCCTATGCCATCCCATGGTTAGTTGTGATTAGACCATGTTGTTGTTGTTGTCAAATGCTGTTGAGTCGATTCCAACCCCATAGCGACCCTGTATAGGGTTTCCAAGGAGCAGCTGGTGAGCTTGAACCGCTGACCTTGCAGTTCAAACGGCTTTGCAGTCTGGCGCATTAAGACCATGGTGACCCATAATTTTTTCAATAGCTGATTTTTTAAGTAGAGCACCAGGCCTTTCTTTCCAATCCATTTTAGTCTGAAGCTCACTGAAATCTGTTCAGTATCATGTTGTTGTTATTG